CATAAATATCATATTATGTAAATAATAAATTCAAATAATGATAGGGCCCATCACAAGATACCGAGCACAACATCAATATTTAGTTTTTGGACAAAAATATTAACTTATAAGTGGTACTCTTGGTGTAGTAATAATAAGAACATGTCGAACAAAAATCTTCCTTTGGGCCGATTTATTGTTCATATATAAACTGAATAATCATCACATGCTTATCACCACAGGTGCGTGTGTAATTCAGCCAAATATTGACCTTCCTTTGGGCCGATTAATATCTGCATGAATTACACACACATCCGTTTAATATTCTAAATTAAATCCCGCAGGCTGCCTTAAGTTTCCCTTCTTTTTTTTTTTTTTTTTTTGGTCAGGGGCCCAGATGGGCCCTTGTTCTTTAATGTCTAATGGCTCTGGGCTTTGAGGCCCACAGCAACAAACTCCAAGGGTCGCAATAGTTGCCACCCATGAGAAATCCCAGGCGGCCAGCAGCCGCTTTTCTCCTTATGTCGCGGCCTGACAGCCGCGGTCTCCCTTGCCGGTGCAGCCTGGCACTGTGGCAAGATTCCCACGGTGCCGGCGGCAGCCCATATTCCTTCTAACGAGATTCAACCGAAGTATATATATATAAATATCTTAAATTCAACCAAAACTGAATAACCAAAATTCAATTATATATATATATATATATATATATCTAAACTTGCATCTGTAAAACCATAATCAAATCGAAAATTTTCAATTCTCAATTATTCAACATAAATAGACTCTGATAGCACTTGTTAGAAAAATTAATTTAGGGTGAAAACCTTCACCAAATACCGGATCGTTCATGTTGTATCACCAAGAATTTATGATCTAAGCAGAACATACCTGAATCAGTCATAATGGAAGTAAATCACAAGCTTTGCGGTTAGTCTTTCAAATCTACATGTAGTCCTTCTGAATTTCCTTTGGATTCTCTCTATTCTCTCTGATGATGGGACGTCAGAAATAGAATGAGAACGTACGTGTGATTTGGAGACTATAACCGTATATAAGTTAACTGCCTATTAACTTTCATTATTTCTAATTTGGCCCATCATAAAAATAGAAATAATGATTTGGTCTCTACACATAAAAAAATCACACTTAATTAGATGCATTAAAGCCCAAAATACTTAAAACTTTATCAGATCACTTTAAATGGGCTCAACCTAATATGATAACCTCTAACACACAATAATAAACATATAAGCCCACATGGTCAATTAAAACTCAACATGGTTTGGATCCAGTTTGTGGCGGCGGAAGAGTCGGTGGCTATGGATTGAAGGATGTCGGAGTTTGTTGAGGGTTGTTCATTTGCATCCAAACTCAAAAAAAAATTTAACTATTGATTTTGCACCTTCTAACATAAGGACAAGAAAAAACCTCGTCATGCTTATTTATTAATTTTTAAATGATCAATAACATCACATTATATTGTCTACTACTAGTTAAAACTTTATTCAAGTTCATATTCTTTTATAAAATTTGAGTTTAAACTTAAGTTTGAATTAGTTTTAACTTGAATTTAGGGTTAAAAACTGAGTTTAAGGGCTCATTCATTTGTATTTTTTTGTGTTAGGATGACTCGAGTTTAGATCTTAATTCGAGTTAAGGTGTATTTGAGTATAGTTTGAGTTGAGACTCTAATTTGAGTTTGTGTTTGGATGTGCACATTTTAAGTTATGATTTGAATTGAGAATCTATTTGAGTTTGTATTTTGGTGGGTCAAAACTTAAATTTGTATTTGGATAGTGTTTTAATAAAATCTCAATGGTGATGGAAAATTTCAATATGGTATATGGGCGGGGTTTTATTCGTCTCTTTATTGTGAACGCATAGAAAAAAAATCATCTCAATCAGAATTAAAACGAAAAAGTTATGGTGTTTTTAATAATAGAAAAATATTATTCATTTACTTGAGTTTGAGTTTAGGACTTAATTTGAAGGAGAAACTTGAACTCATGACTTGTTCTTTTAGAGTAAAACTCAAAACAAAATTTGAACTCAAATTACAACTTTATTTAAGTTCATGTTCATTTGTAAAATTTGAGTTTGAACTTAAGTTTTAACTTGAGTTTAGAGCTAAAATCTAAATTCAAGTTTCCCCTTCAACTCAAGTTCTTAAACTCAAATTCAAGGTAATGAACAATATTTTTTCTATTCTTAAAAACGTCATAATTTTTTCGTCTTAATTCCGATTGAGATTATTTTTTTCTATGCGTTCACAACGAAGAGACGAATAAAACCCCATCCATATACCCTATTAAAATTTTGCATCACCATTGAGTTTTTATTAAAATACTATTTAAATACAAATTCAAGTTTTGACCCACCCAAACACAAACTCAAATAGATTCTCAATTCAAATCATAACTCAAATGTGCATATCCAAACACAAACTCAAGTTACAACTTCAACTCAAATTATAACTCAAATTCAATTCAAGATCTACACTCAAGTCACTATAACTCAAAAATGACTCAAAAATGCAACCGAACAAGCCCTGATTTTAGCACCGAACTCAAGTTAAAACTCAAGTTCAAACTTAAATTTTATAAATGAACATGAACTTGAATAAAGTTGTAACTTAAGTTCAAATTTTTTTAAATTTGGGTGCAAATGAACAAGCCCTAAGTACTCTCTTCAACTTAAGTTCCTAAACTCAAATTCGAGTTAATGAACAATATTTATTTTATTCTTAAAAACGTCATAACTTTTTTGTTTTAATTCTGATTGAGATGATTTTTTTTCTATGCTTTCACAACAAAGAGATGAATAAAACCTCACCCATATATCATATTAAAATTTTCTATCACTATTGAGTTTTTATTAAAATACTATCAAAATATAAATTTAAGTTTTGACACACTCAAACACAAATTGAAATAGATTCTCAATTCAAACCATAATTCAAAATGTGCACATTCAAATACAACCTCAAATTAGAGTCCCAACTCAAACCATACTCAAATACACCTTAACTCATATCAATATATGAACTTAAGTCACTTTAACTCAAAAAATGTAAATGAACAAGCCCTCAGAGCTTCGACAATTTCTGTGCATGGAGCGTAGCATAAATTCTCATCTTTGTTATTCCGTAGGTTTTGTAGAATTCAAGTTTTGTTACATTAAAAAACTCTTAGAAACAATCACATATAACTTTTTTCCTATAGTAAAAAAGCTCTCACATAAAGTCACATCTCAACTCAAATTAAAAACTCAAATCGGCAAATTAAACGGGTCTTACAGTTTCTATCTTGTTTGGTAAGTTGTCTGCGGTTGCCAGTTCCTCCATAACAAACGCCTAAGGATTCTGCGACTATATATTTTTGTATTGTACATTTATTTAATAAAAAAAAAATCGAAGAATGAATATTTTGAAGTTTTGCTAATGAGACCTGATGTTTCAAGGCAAAGAAGAGAGAAGCCAAGTAGTAACAATATTGAAACGGCCATGGAGTTTTTGTTGTTAATAGGCGTTTCATACGTAAAGAGATAATTAATTAAGAACCAAAATAACTTTTGGAAAAAATCGGACTGTAAATAACCAAATAGTATTTAGATCGCCGAGAGGATTAGGATTTCAGATTGATTTTATTGATTTCTCCATGAAATCTCTAAAGATGAAAAGTCTAGACGTGTTGTTAATTAATGCAGTTACCTAACTAATTGTTGGCCAGAGGTTACCGGTCAACTTTATATACTACTGATGGAATTTTCTCAATAGAATGAAGTTTTCACACTTGATTTTGGGATGTTCTTGTGGACATTTCTTCAAACTCTAATTTTTCTTTTGCCAGTCTCATTTCCTTCGTAAATTTACAAATTTCCAAATCCACCAACAAAATGAAAAGGACGTGACCCAAAGATGCCTTCAACCTCTTCTTATTACCAAACGACGTGTCGATATAATTGTTTGTGATTGAGGGGAAAAAACACACACACAACATCCCGACGTGACGACATCGTTTGTTGGTATTTGCATTTACCTAATTAGAAGATCTTCCTTGAAAAGTACATGTTAGCCATAATTCATAAATATGATTTTGACACATTCACAAACGCCAAAGTCATCACGCTAAATTAATTTGAAAAAAAAAATAAGTGAAGAATAAATGCATGTTTTCATTAGAGCAATCGTACTTTTTAGTTAAATCGGTCAAATCTTCAGAGTCTTTAATGGGGTGTTATCTCTCTAAATGGGAAAGAGAGAAAATTGTCCGATAATTTAATGTATCAGAGACTATAACTTATAAATCTTTATATACTTATTCTATTAGGCTCCCATTAAGTAACTATTAAAAATCTCATATCCTATTAAAAATCTTATTGAGTTATCCTAATTAGACTACTTATTTATCTCATTTATTAAATAGCATAATATAATTGTTATTTTAAATATGTAGCCCACCCAAAATTAGTAGGAATTATCGTGAAATTCCCAACAGTACAATCCTGGAAAAGCCTGGCTTTTGACGTTGTACTGCAAGATGAGAAAGCAATGAATAACATTGGTGTTCAATTATTTTCTACTTTCTTGTAGAGGGAGACAAACCGGGTCAGTCTTCTCTATTGACTCTTCAACCATATTCTGGACCAATCTCCCAAGCTTAGATAAAGACATTCCACGAGTGCTTCTGGACCATATTTGCCAATATAATAAGTAGTCTAATTAGGATAACTCAAAACGTACAGGATCCACTAATTTTAAACTCTAGAGATGCAAAATTTTCCACGAGTGTTTCTGGACCATATTGCCAATAAAATAATGGACCATTTTTTTTTCCTGGCAGGAAATTTGAGACGCAGACAAGAAGACTATTATGCTAATCGACGTGTTCGATCGACGGGATTCATGCACGCATCGATGTATTTGCAGTGTCGCCATCAGGATTCAGGACTATTTTCAACGTAACATTATTTATTATCACATCACATGGAGTGATTGACGGGCTTGAGTGTCATAATTTGTTGATCAAAACGTACAGGATCACCCGCTGATTTTAAACTCTAGAGATGCAAAATTTTCCAAGATATACACCTGCTGGCTATATAAAGTGGTGGAAGCTAGATAATAATTAGGGCATCGTAACATTGAGAAGTAGAATTTAATCAATTGTTATTTCCTCTTCATGGCTTCTTTTTCAACAACTGATCACAAAACCTTCATGACTTCCATGTTCTTCCTGCTTGGGTTGCTAATTCTTAGCTCGGAGATATCAGGTGATAAATCAAATTCTCTAATCTGATCTCTTTGGCTTTTCCTCGCTATCATTGTGAGGAGAGATTTATTCTTTTGCTTGTATATATATATTATTACTTTACTAATTATAAAGCACGTGCATGCAGCTAAAGAAAGTTCATAACATGTTCAGTTTCTTATTCAATTGTCATCCCTTCCTTCCAAAAAAAATCTTAAATTAATCACATAATTTATATATGTTCTTGTATTAGTATGCATACACACATATATGTACTACGGAAATAGAGGAATAACATATTTTAAGAGGGAAAGAAAAAATAATAGCACAAATTTTAGGGTCTAAAAAGTAATAGTAAGTTTTAGACAAAAAAATCAGAAATCCCCGAAATTCCCCCGCGCTCTTCTGCTCTCCAGACTGCCATTGTTGTTATTTCGTCTTGTATGTTTCTAATAAACAATATTTGCTGCTTAGTTTCTAAATTTTATTCTTCGATAGGATACAAAACCTACTATTTACTACAATAAAAAAAAAAAAAAAGCACTTGATATTACCAATCATAATGATCGCTCTTAGGTTTTCAATCTGTCATAAAACAAAAAATGTGTGAGTTGCTATATAACAACATAAAAACTAATTCTGATAATTATACCATCACTTATGTTAGGTGCACAATCCATTGGAGTCTGTTACGGTAAACTCGGCAACAACTTGCCGACTGAATCGGAAGTGATAAACCTATACAAAAGCAACAACATTGGAAAGATGCGGATTTACTCCCCAGACCAAGCAACCTTACAAGCCCTAAAAGGCTCCAACATTGAGCTCATCGTTGATGTCCCCAAGGACAAGCTACAATCCCTCAACGACGCCGGAGCCGCCTCTGATTGGGTCCAGACGAACATAGTCTCCTTCTCCTCCGACGTCAACTTCAAGTACATCGCTGTCGGGAACGAAATCCACCCCGGTGACGGTGAGGCCAACTACGTCCTACCCGCCATGAAAAACGTTCAAAGCGCTATAAACTCTGCCAGCTTACAAGGAAAAATCAAGGTCTCAACAGCCATAGACACTAGTTTGCTGGACAAGTCTTACCCTCCAAATGATGGTGTATTTAGCGACGCTGCAAATGGATACATCACGCCAATTGCCAATTTCCTGGCAGAAAATGGGTCACCACTTCTTGCCAATGTGTACCCTTACTTTGCCTATACTAATGACCGTTCAATTGACCTTCAATATGCTTTGTTCAACTCAAAAGGGTCATCAGATGGTACGGGCTACCAAAACTTATTTGATGCACAGTTGGATGCTCTGTACGCGGCTCTGGAGAAAGTTAATGCACCCGATGTGAAGATTGTGGTGTCCGAGAGTGGTTGGCCATCAGAGGGTGATTCGGCAGCAACCACTAATAATGCAGGCACATATTATAGGAATTTGATTGCTCATGTGAAGGGCGGGACTCCAAAGAGGCCTCAAGGACCTATAGAGACTTATTTGTTTGCCATGTTTGATGAGAACCAAAAGGATGGTGCCCAGGAGCAACATTTTGGTCTTTTCTCACCAGACAAACAGCCCAAATACCAACTGAGTTTCAGTTAATTATAGATGTAGAGTATTAATCTTAAATAAAAGTGCTTTGTATTCCAATACATGGCAATGTTTCTTCTATGCAAGGAAATGAAAAATAAGTGATTTTCCAATTATTCCAATTGACAACAAGCATATGTAGTGAATCTGTGCAATTATTGCTTTTAAGGAAGTAAATAAGTCCTATGAATAGTATATTGCATTTTTTTTTTTTTTAGGATTCCGAATACCCAATCGGGCACAGTTCAAAACTGTGTTCTATAGAGGTCATATTCTACCACAGAATTTTGCTTCTTTTTCAAAACTAACTTGGCACATACACAGAGGGCGGACAATTTACTTGTGGAGACCGCGCCCCTAGTATTATAATGAGCTGGACTAGACCGCTTTTTTTATTAAGTGTAAATACTGCGTCGGTTTTTTTTAAGATGCTATACGTTCTAAATCATCTAGAAGATTTAGTTATTTGAGATCACATTACTTAATAAGAAGTTAGTGAGATTAGAAGGAAATAGAAAGTTAATGAGCGAGGCAACATTTTGAGCAGCAAAATAGATATCAAATGACTAATATATATAAAACAAACATCACTTTTACGCAAGGGGATTGAAACTAAAAGAAAACAGTACTGCAAAGATTTCTACAAGTAACACATAAAGCAAAACAAAAGAAAAGAAACCTATTTAAATATTGCATGGTTTCACAGCTACCCTATAGAACAACGCATATAGAGCTGGAGCGCTTAGATGAGACTGACTGATTGTGATTCTTCTTCTTCTTCTTCTTCACTTGTTTTATTTTCCAAACTCCTCATCATGAGCCAACAGTGAATTATGCTCTTCCCTCGTGACGATATATTTCTCGCTCAAGCTCTTAAAAGCTTCCATTTTCTCAGCCGGAATTTTATTTTTCCTCTTCTCCAAAGAAAGCTTCGCGGACTCAATCTGTCTCTTGAGCTCTTGGATTCTAGATGTCTTCTCCTCATGCTGTTTCCGTAGCTCTTCTAGTATTTCTGATGGCGCCTTTTCAGCTGACCAATTCCATATTGGTACGTTATGAATCAAAAGTAAACATATATAGAAAAAAGAAAAAAAGAAATATCCTGAAACCCAATATCTATTTTCCAAATATAACTGGTTTTAAGATAAAGACTGCCGAAATTCTGAAATTCTAAAGTCTGCAGCAAATTTTTTTTTTTCTTTGAATAACAGAGACAATATTATTATGCATTGATATATGAGAAGGAAAGCAGAAGTAAAATATTTACGTGATAGGCTGATCCTCGAGCTGCTATCTTCCATGACTTCAAATTTTCTAAAAGAAAATGAAAAAACGTTGAGTTATAAGTCTTCATATTTGTATAAATAGCGCTCTAATTTGAACTTTCAGCAGTCCAGCTGTTTATCTCTCTCTCCTGGGAAGAAGAAAACATTGGATTTTGGAAGACTTAAATCGTGATCAGGAAATAATTTCTCATTTTTTTCCCAATAGTGAACCGTCTATTTTTAGAATTTATATCATCGTTATCCTTCATATTTCGCGAGTGATCTTGAGGCTCAAGAAAACTTGAAAATCCTGGATTTCCCGGTACGACACAGAATAAATGTGATTTTAACTTTCCTTTCTCTTTTTGCATCTGTTTCTACGTAAACCTAATTAATTTGTTTCGTTATTCTTATTAGCAATAATAAACCTACCTAAAATACAAAGCTTTACATATATATTGACATATTCTTCTAATCACATGTATATATAATCACGGTTTGTAAAAATAGAAAATGCAAACACAAATATCGTTTGAAATGTGTTTTGTTCTCTGAAAATATCTTTTTGAAATATTTAGAAACGTTAGTTGGTTTTCTAGAGACCAAAAAAAAAAAAACCCCCCTTCACTTTTGGTGTCAAAAAAAAATTGATAGTAGTAAAATGACAAACAAGAACTAGAAATCCATAAACTAGGTCTTACCTTTTAACCTTGTCGTCCAAAAGAAAAACACTCTGGGTTTTCACTTCACAAGTTCTCTCTCGTGTGGCCCCTTTAATTTCAATGCAAGACCGAGGTATATGATTCAAAGAATTGGCCCAAAACCTATATATATATATATATATAAGCAAACGTCATGGCAAATTGATATGGCACTGTCATTACATGATCCAGCTGGCCAAGCAAATCAGAAAGCCAATAAAAAAACAGATGATGGCTAGATCATCAAAAACCCATGATGTGGAGCATCTTTCCCTTGTTGCACAACAAAATCAGGGCCACAGATTTTGGTACATAGATTTGCTGGGCCCTACTTGTGAAAAACTCTCCTTTTTCTGTTTTTTTTTTTCCTCATTCCGCTCTAGTCCCATCCATTGGAATCAGAATTTCGCTTGCGTGTTTTACAACAGCAACAGAAGAGCCATTGCTTTGCTCTTTTACTCAAAGCTTAGCTCATTCTATTTTGTTTCATCCCCAAAAAGAAACAATAGTAAGATGAAAATGAAACTAAAAAGGTCAAGCTTTGATTCTTTTTCATGCGCCTGCAGAAAGGCTGATAACACAGATCAAGATCAGTGTGGAAATATTTGCTTTCTGTTTTGGAATTGGCCCATAACCAAACCAAAACGTGGCAATCATGATTGACCCTTTTTCGTGTTATATAAACGAAAAGGAAAAGAAAAGTGATTGACCCTTTTTCTCTGTGTTGGGGAAGTTTTCATGGACCCAAAGTTCACAGGCTTAAAACCTACCAATAATGGACCATCAACTGCCAAATTTTCTTTCACGATTGATCTTCAAAATTTATTCACTGCAACCTCGAATATTTGTTTGTCATCGTGCCAAACGAGCATATACTCGTGTCGTGCGTTGATCACTTGATCTTGTTTTGACGCAATAGTTATTTATACTAATGTGTAAGCTCTCTTCACTGTACTAGCGGTCCAATCGATGTTTAGTGAGTGTGTGAGATATTTGCAATGTATTGAGAGATAGGAAGCTCTCTTCACTACCCCCATCGCTATGGATGCGGAATTATTTGATGCCAGGTGACAATTATCACCACCAATTATAACTATAACTATTCTCATGAGTTATAATCAATGGATTCGTTCATTTCACCGATTCGAGTTTTCAGTTTTAGGTTTTTACAGTAAAAAGTTCTCAAAAAATGTCACATTTAATTTTTTTTGTTACAGTGAAAAGCTCTAAAAAAATATCACATCTCAACTCGAATTGAAAACTCGAATCTGCGAAGTGAACGAGGCCAATCTTTTTCTTTTTTTTTCTTTTTTTACTTTGTCTGATAGGCCTCCTTACGGGTGAGAGCCATAAGACCATTTTCTACTATTAAAATAAACATTTTTTGATACAGATTTATCAAATAAAGAGTAAAAAACAATCGATAATTCATTTTTTTTTATCCCCCCCGAGAAACTTTTTTTTTTTCTTTCTTTCATGTAGATAATTTGCACACTTAAAACTTTTCCCAAAGAAATCCCTAATAGTAATAGAGACCTCTGCAAGTACATGATGCGGAATGACTTCATTGATGTACTAATTGACGATTGTATCAAGCATGCCAATGTTTGAAGGGTCAGTCTTCTAACTGATCGTGATCTTCTTTATTAAGCGTTGGACACTTTTGGGTACTCTTCCGGCAACAAGGCCCAAATTTCACTCCCAACAACAGTAAATTTACGTACATTTGGACTTGCCCGCTAAATGTAATTGCCATATTTTGTCTTGTTTGGAAGCAATTATGCTCTTTTTACATAATAATCTTCTGTAGGGTCTTTCTTCTTTTTCTTTCTTATTTCATTGATGGAATAAAGAAGTCATGATTCAACTCTTGAGCTTACTCGTCTTTTCCACACGAAGTTGTCCAAATTATTACCTTGAACAGGTGGTACAATATATATATATATATAAGCAAGCATATATTTTCTTTGAATAGGTGCTTTAATAATGCAGAAGAGATCTTTCTTCCTGTGCTAGAATCACTGAGGCAGGCAAAAACTGTATAAAATAAGACACAAATTTCTGTTCATTATTAAAAGTGATGCCTCTCCTGATTGGTTTTATAGTTAAAAGTATGAGTGAAAAGGACGCAGTGATTGGAGTAGTTGAAAATCATAACACCGTTGGTTTATTCTTTTTTAGCCAAAACTTTCTTGCTCTTTTTGCTGATTTCTTTAGACAAACTTACTTTTAAGAGTGTCATTATTTTCCTTCAGCTGCGTTTCCTTTTGCTTTTAGCGCCTGACATGTATGGCAACTGTATCGCATTTAGGCTAAACTACCATATTAATGTAGAGTTTTTCTTTTGGGACTTTCTCCACTAATCCGCTCTACTGGTAGTCTTAATTTTTAATCGTTAAATCTTATTAAAATCATATTAAATTAAAAAAATATACAGAATAAATAAATTTTAATATAAATCAGATTGCTGAAAAATAACACTATAGATAGTCCTTTTTTTTTTTTTCAAAAACTACAAGAGAAACTCCCTTTTTCTTTCCTTTTTTTTTGGGGGGGGAGGGGAAGGTTATTAGGCATAGCAAAAAACTATCTATATGAGAAGTGTGTTGTACTAAAAAAACGCTAATTATTTTCTCTATATTGGATTCCAAAGGCTAGAGATAGACAATCATATATACCCAATAGTTGCTGAAGGGCCACTTTAACAGCAGCACATGTAGGGCTAGCATATATAGTTTCAAATCTTATATTGCCAAAAAAGTTAATAAATGGGGCTCCAGCTTCCATAAAACAGAGAGATTTTCAGAAACAAACATTTCAATAAGCTGAAAGGGAAGGGAGTGTGATAATCTGATAAAACTTTTTATACAAATGTCAGCACCCATGTGACAAGAGTTGGCCGCACCCCCCACATGTGGGCCTTGGAAAACAATAAGTGACAAAAGAGTCTCCTAAAGTGAACTTTGATCATCCAATGAAATCTCCTTTTTACCCCTAGTTATTCTCTAAAACAATATCCTGTGGTCATGTGATAGAATGGATATACACAGTATGAAAAGAACAATCAATAACCCCAGAAAAGGATCTTTCAGATCAAATATTTATAAAAAAAAAAAAAAAAAAAAAAAAAAAAAAAAAAACCAAAAAAAAGGGGGGGGGGGAAAAAAAAAAAAAAAAAAACCCAGAAAAAGGGGCTGGTGGATACTAATAAAAAATGAAGGCCAGAAACCCAAACTTAACAGCCTTTGACCTCTCCACTTTTGAGTGTCCCTTCTCATTTTCCCTATGTACTTCTGTTGTTTTTAACTCCTTTGAAACTTCCTTCTGCGGCTCAGATAAACATTTACATGTACGTCTAATTTTCTTACAATGACTCCAATTTCAACTAGATTCACCTCATAAGAAAGAGACACTAAAGAAAAGAACGCAAAGATGTGTAGATAACAATGTAATACATTATAGTCTTTCATCCTGCTCTAGTCTCTGTGGTCCAGCACAAACCTATAAAAGAGCGTACAAAAGTAGAAAAGAGAGAAAAACCTACCCCCAAAAAAAGAAAAAAAAAAAAAATTCATAAATCACTTCATCTGTCCCTCTTTATGTATGGAATATGTATTTGCTGTTAGCAGTATGTATAGACGATGATTGGTGCAGACCTCAGTTGAGATCTTCTCTATGGATCATCTACTCTTTCATGCATGTAGGTATAATTCAGCTATACACCTAGAGTTTTCTTCCTTGTCTATCGTTCTACTTTTCTGCATAAAACATAAAAAATCAATCAGAAAGAAATCATTAAACTGTATACGAGACTAATCAAATTCCTTCTATTTGTAATGATGGGTAAAGGAAGAACAATAAGCTCTTACCTAGAAAAGTTAATCCATTGCTAGCCATTCTCGCTGTTACAAGTATAAAAAACATTAAAAGTCGGTCATGTATCCCAATTTTAATAACCTACCTTCTGATCTTATAACTGTTAACACAATGGAAAGCAGACCTTAGCATTTAGACAAAACCATCACTGATTAGAAGCCATGTTGCCAGCAGAAGTCATGGGCACCAACGAGTTGCTTTTGCTAGGAGATGTGGTGGTTTCATTAACAGCCACTGCAGTGGTAGAGAAGTCGGTGATATGCTCACCAGCGGATTTAGTAGGCGAAGCGAAGAGGCTGTCTGGAAGCACCTGCTCTACACTGCTCTCACGATGAAAGCGGAAATAAAAAATGTTTAGTTTGGGCTGAATCGCAAACGCCACAAAGTACTTTAAGTTCTATGATGCAATTGAACATAACTGATGCTTAAGATGCTTGGCACCGAGATATTTCCCCTAGGTTGTTCTTATTATTATGCAATATACCTTTTATGAAGATTGAGATCTTCAGAGGTAGAGACCTGCTCCTTGCCGTCATTGGGAACGCAAGCAGAAGATTCTTCCTGCTGATGCTGCTGGGCAGCAACTGCGGAAGTCAAAGAAATGGTGGCAGCAGGGCTGTCATCGTAGCCTGCAAAAGATAACAACGCATGTTGAGAACCAAAAAGCTTCTACATCTGAAACTTAGAAATACCATGTTTATCTATGATGGTCCATCAATCAGCGAACCTTCAGTGACTTCTTCCTGTTTAATGCTATCAAACGGAAGAATGACATTTTGATTAGTGAGAGAAAGAGATTGAGGGGGTAAGGGAACAGGAGCACCGACAGAGAGACTTCGCTGATGATGGTGTAAACGGTCATTCTTGAACTCTGGGAGCTGCAGATTCATCAATCTTCTCCCTTGGAGTTCAATAGCTTGTTGAAGTTCAGCTTGCTCCATTTTTCTTCTCAAAAGAATGTCCTGTGAATTGTAGAACATTCTTCCTCCTGCAAAGAGAAGAAAACATTCAGTAAAAGAAACTTGAGGAGGGCACGGGAGAGAGAGAGAGACTCCAACTTACACATTTACCTTGTTGTCCATTATTCTTTCTAGAAAGACACGAGTTAAATGTGAAGAAAAAGATTGTGCAAACACGCTTACCGTGTTGAAGGTCATAAGCCTCCCTTGAATCGAGGCCAGAAGGGCTTAAACATGATGAGAATTCTCCCCTCTCAAGTTGCTGATGATGCTGCTGCCTCCTGCAGTTGACACAAATCTATAACTTGAACAGGAATTTTTTAAAAGGCTCGAACCTAGACGTCAAAAGAAGTAAAAGCACATACTTGTCCAGGACTTTTCCCTTCTCCTTATAGGGCTTGACAAGGACACGCGAATCACATATGAAATGAGGATTGCCTTTGGACAGAATGAACCTCACAGTTTCTGGGTGGACGAACGTAACAAATCCAAACATTCGCTTCTGTTGGTATGGAATTCTTACATCTTGTACAGGTCCAAACTTGCTTCAAAACGTAAGAAGAAACTATTCAATTTGAATTCCAATGACAGCAAATAATATGTCGAATCAAGTATCAATAGGTGGCATGAAGCCCCAAAAACAGTCTCACTGTTATCAAAGTTCGCCATCGCCTAAGAAGTATGTACCCTCCCAAAACAATCAATCAAGCCCCAAAAGTAGTGCCATCGTTATCAAATTTGAGCATCATCTAAGAGGCACATAGACAAAACAGTGAAAAGTCACTGTTGTTTTTTATATGCATATGTCAAAAAGCTGCGTACTTTAAAAAACACAGGTCACTCAATTTTTCTGCAAAATCATTAACAATTCACTAGCACTGCAATTTTATTGATACAATAATTGCAAATGCGCTGGAATGGTACAAGCTTTCACTTGGTGTCAAAAAAAAGTGCCAACCCACTATGGAGAAACATTACTAGGCACAAAATGAAACAAAGCTGCAAACCCACTTACCAAACAAGCAAGTCAAAACATAATTAAACATGCATTAATCTAGGAACATGAAGATTGAAGAAGTCATCTGAACAGGAAAGCTAAAGCATTTTCCCAAGGCTTCATTGAAAATTAAAAACATGGGTCAAAGTCCTAAAATGCCAAGACTTTCCAAACCTAATTAACACTGGTGATGCAATGGAGACTTGATCCGAAATACCAGAAATGCGAATTCGGCGAAAATTGAATAAAAGTGGGAAAAGTATGTTACTTGAAATACTCCGAAACATCTTCATCCTTGAAAGTGCTCTCAGCTGGGAATGTCAAGTAGATCTGTCTTGAGGCCGAGTTCATCTTCTCCGCAGAAGCAATTGACAAAAACTCATTCCTTTCTTGTCTGCACCGCCCGAACTTGTAAAGCTCATCCCCCATCATGAGCGCCGCCGCCGCAGCCGCCGCCGCTCTAAATTCCAGAAAAAAAAAAAGAAAAAAAAACTTATCCGTAACCATTCCCAAAAAGGGGTTTCGTTACATTTCAAAGTAATCAGCAGAAATAGATAATAAGATTAATATACCTCTGGGGGTCATTTTGATGTTGCTGTTGCAAGAGAAAGTTCATGTACTTGTTGTACACTGACGGCGACACTCCAGCCATCAACTGAGAAGCAGCGGCTAATCTCTGTTGCTGCTGAGCCTGAGCAGCGGCCTTCAACCTCATTATCTCCTCGTGTTGTTCAAAGCCATCGTACTTGCCGCTCGGCGAGCCGACAATGACGGAGCCCTCGGCGGAATCTCCGAAACCGCCGCCGCCGCCATGCACGAACCTGCAGTTGCTCCCGTTCTTACAGAACCCTCGGGCGAAGTAAAGGCAAGGCTTGAACCCACCACCGCAGTAATCCTCGGACCCAAACGACGCGTCGCTCGCGGAGAAGCTCCTCCGGTGGAGGAAATGGGCGTCGCCGCCATTATTCACGGAGTGGTCCCCGGCCCACTCTGGGACGCCGTGGCCCAATTCCATCCGCGGATCGACCGCCAAATCCTCCGCGCCGTTGAGGAACGAGAGGTAGTCGTTGAGTTGGTTCTCGTCGATGAGTTCTCCGCCGTCGCAGCCGTCGTGGTGGTGGTGGTTGGAGAACACCTGCAACGGAATCGACGGAGGGCGGACGTTTGGGCTAATGGGGTTGCCGTTGTTTGAGAACCCAGAAAGAGGCCACGAAGGGGAATTCGACGACGGAGAAGAAGGGTTCTTGAAATCGAAACCGCCATTTGGGATTACCACTCTCGGCGAAGACTGCGAAAACGGGTTGCTTTTGTTGTTGTTGTTACTCGAAGGTCTGGCGATGGGGTTGAGAGGCGAAGGAGAAGAAGGAGTTGAAGGTGTAGACGAAGTGTTCGACGAAAGTCCCAACTGGATTTTGGCCCTCAAAACCATCGAGTGCAAGAGGGTGTCAGGGCCGTACGCCAAACGCATCAAATCTTTCTCCGCAAGGTCCTGTATCAGAATGTACCCCATGATTTTCGAAGCGTTTTCTGGGTCTACACTCTTAATCTTTGTGAAGATTATACTTGTAGCTTCGTAAGAATCCATGGCTGTCTTTCTTTTTTCTTTCTGGGTTTTTTCTTTTCTACTGCTCTCCGCTGAAGGAGAGCGAGAAACGGTACTATTTTTTGTTGTGGGTTTTTTTTTTTTTTTTATTTGTCGAACAAGAGAGTTCCAAAGAGAGTGAGTATGAGTAGGGTTTTCAAGTGTTAAACAAGCGGGTCTCGCTTGTTCTGGTAGAGTTGTGAGTGTTTCTCTCTCTATCTCTATCTTCGTCTTCTCTCTCTGTAATCTCTCTCTCTCTTTGAAGAAGAGTGGTAGATTTCAGATCTACTTCAAAGGGGTAATTGTCAACAGCAGAAATGAGAAGTCGTATTTGGATATTGCATAGATATACAGTATAATTATACTCACGGACAAGTGTATTTTTTTCATCATTTCTCTTTTTAATTATTGTTTTTAGTATAAAGAAAGTGAAACAAACCCTAATCCAAAAGGGCCCTACCCCGCCCATGGCCCCACCTCTCTCTTCTTTTTTTTTATGCAACAAATATATCACTAATAAAAAATTACGAAGCTTACGGAGAATTTAATAAAAAATTTAATATAATAAACTAAAATTAATATATTTATTGACATTTTAGTATATAAATTTATTGTAATTTGAATTTAAATTTTTATAAGATAAAATATGTAATAAAAATTTGAATTATAATTTAAACTAATAAAATAAACGAGGTCATAAATTATATATAGTGAAATTCCTTACAAAAAAATATGAATTTTTGAGGAAATATCAATGAATTCCAAATTGACGAGAGGGACGCTAATAACAGACCAAAAGAAAGGCTATAATCATACACATAATTTGATGTTAAGAGTAAATGTATAATTTTAATGTTTCTTCTTTTTTTTAACGGAAGATTTGAGTCATTTGACCATATCTCACTATCGTAATATGTGCCACATTCGTCAATTTCAATTATAATGTAAATCGTCTTTTCATCACTTTAATTGCCCATCACATATCACCCTTTGAGCGCAATTTATTCTTTTTCACAACTAATTATCGTCCAAGTATTGTCTCCATTCTTGTCATTTTGCGTTTTGCTCTTTTGAACTTTCTATTTGTCCACTTTTAGAACATTATTGATCTTAGGTGCAAGCCTCTAATGGAGGAATGATCTGAATAATTTTCCCAAGTTTTTCCTATTTATTATTGAGTGACAAAATGTATCATTCCCGAGCGAGAATTCCTTATGGGTGTGGTATTGTTCGTTCACTTCGTTGATTCGAGTTTTTTATTCGAGTTGAAATGTGATTTTATGTAAAAAAATTTTACTGTAGCAAAAAAGTTAGATGTGATTGTTTCTGAGAGTTTTTTACTGTAACAAAACTTGAATTTTAAACTCGAATCGGCGAAATGAACGGGACCGCAGCTACTAAATGCATGAACAAAAATTGAATTTGTCTTGACATGAGAAAAATGAAAAATCAAACTTTGCTTGGATCTAAGTTATGCCAACATTTGTTTGTTACGTGTTAGATAAGGGTCACGTAGACTTGTTAGAAAGTTTTGTGGGAAAAACAAATACTACCATGTTGTTTATATAAGTTCCAATCATGTGCTACGTGGCTTATGATAGTGATATTGTCGCATTCTTCCTTTGAACACGTGTTAATATATGGTGGAATGGCTTATGAGAAGGAAGGTAACCATCTCCCATTACAATCCATAAATAGAAGGAAAAGAAGAAGCTACAATTTGGAAAGTTTTAACTTTGAAACTTAACATAATTCGAACTTCAATCTCCCATGCAAATACATTACATATTTTTCTTTTCTCAATTAAAAAAAAAAAAGTAGTTTGTTTCTATCTCATCCTCATTTATAGTATAAACTATGTAGCAATTAGTGTCGTAGTCAGATTTTTTTTCTTCTTTTAGACATGAATTAAACTAAAATTTTAAACGAAATTTACAATGCAACAATTTTAGATGAACTTAGCTTGTAAAAGAGCTAAACTTAATGTTAAAAGTTTATAGTCCAGAAACTTGTAAATATAAATAATACTATATTGATTTTTAGTTTATTTAAGATTTTAAGTTTGATTTAAAGTTACAATTAATCTAGGGCAAAGGGAAAAATGTTGTAAAAAAATTGTAATATTATGGAAAAACTTTTGGGCCAAGGGGGATATTTGCCTTTCATGAGTATGATGTAAATGCTCGTTTGGTTAGAGTGTTTAAATCACTCTAGTTTTGGTTAAAAAATTAAAACAATGTTTTTTCTTAAAAAAATTAAAAAATTATACTACAGTATTTTTTTTCTTACAAAATTTAAATTCTTATTCAAATAATTCAGTTTAAATCTATCTTCCAAACGAGTCTTTATATACTCAAAAAATGTGTTCAATTTTACTTAACACTATTTCGTAATTGTTTTACCCGGATAAGGACCTTAAAATGGGACTATGAAGCACCAAATTTTGAACCCACATTAGAAAATAAAATATAAATTTATGCACCACAACTAAATTATTTTTGTTTATTCTGAAACATTACGGCCTCGTTCACTTTGCGGATTTGAGTTTTCAATTCGAGCTGAGATGTGACATTTTCTGAGAGCTTTTCACTGTAACAGAAAAAGTTAGATGTGACATTTTCTGAAAGTTTTTTACTGTCGAAACCTAAAACTGAAAACTTGAATCGGTAAAATGAACGATGCCTACATTATATATTATACATGTTAATAAAGAGGCATCATGCTTATTATAATTACTGAACTGAGGTCGGGAATTTCAATTTGAATCAAGATCTCAAATTTGACATGGATAGGCAATCGTTAAAACTAATGTAACCACGAATCACGCTTTACAATTTTGATCCAATTGATTGCATGATAAAAAATAAAAAAAAATAGAATAAACCTTAAAAGTGGCATTGTCTTTTTACTTGTTTTTAATCGTCTTATCCATTTTATAATATGATTTTTTGAAAAAATAAAATAAAAAATAAAAAACCTATAGGAATCTTGCCCACTATTTTGATGGTTAAAAAATGATTAAATAGTGAGGCAAAAGTTACCATGGAGTGTCAGAATGAATAATATTCTAACTTTTTGTATTTCTGTGGCACTGCAGAGCGTGTGATTGCTCTTTTTGGGCCCAAAATAATAGTGCACGTTCTCTTTCTGGACCCCTGCGTAAGCTGACCAACTTCTTCCGATGTATATCTTTACCCATACCCACCCTAAAGATTCACTAATATTTACCCTATTACACCCTTCATTAATAAATGGATGATGATTCCAGTGTTGACCATCATTTTGAATTCTTCCAAGTGTCAAAACCTACACCATCCGATGATTGTTTGATCGAGTGGATGGAAATCACGTCAACTGTTTGATGGTCTACATTTTTTTTTTTTGTATCGCATCAGCATCTCTTTATTTGATGTTATTGGTCAAACTCCTCCTTCCATGTAAAACGTGTCATTTTTTAGAATGGGCTTCAATCTTCATACAATCCATCCAAGTCACTTGGTGACGGTTTTTCGGCTTGTCACTGAGCCCAGAGAAGGAAAAAAATAAAAATAAAAAAAATAAGTTAACGTTTAATTCATAAATTCAGAATTATGATTCAAAATTATTCTCATTTTATGTGTATTTTTTTGTAAGAAAAAATACTGTAAATAACCATAAATTATGATTCAGAATCAATGACGAATACATGAAACAAACGTCCCATAATACCTTAAAATCTATAGCCATGTTTGAGTTGATTTTATTTTATTTTTCACGTTTTTAAAAAATAAAAATAAAAATGAGATATAAACAGTGTTTAGCACAATTAAAGATAAAAAATAAAAATAAAAATAATTTTTTAATTTGGTATAAAATGAGAGAGAAATGAAAAACGAATTTTAGTCATTTTTCATTTTTTGTTTCTATTTTTTCCTCTCTCGAACACAGAGAGAGACATTAATTAATTTTTTATACTTAAAATAATCTATTGATAAAATTACTAAACACATTTTTAAAAATAATTTATGTCTGAGATTCAAAATATTTTCATTTCTATTTTCATACAAAAAACCAAAATCATTTTAGAACGAGTTCTAAACGCACCTTATGAATCTTAAATTTTTATTTTTTGCACTTTATTAATAATATTTAATTAAAATTTCAAAACAATACTTTTAAAATGTGAGTTCACCAATTTTCGCTCTAAAAAAACCCCATGTCTTTTGGATAAGTTTTCTTTTTTCCTTTTGAGTTTTGTTATTAGTGACAAGTACATTAATAAAAAGATAATCGTCACTTCTATTATTTTAACATAGTGTTACATATATAATGATTATATCACTAATGATGACAAATTATAATTCTTTTTAAAATCTCTTAACGGAATTTGGATTCTAAAAAGTGAAAAAAAAAAAAATAGAGAGAGAGAAAAGTTGACATTGGAGTAAAACATACTACTTGTAGACCTGTGGTGCTTATATAAAGTGATGCTTAATTATGAGCAAAAGCTTAAAAGGATAAGCAAAAAGGATCTTAAGCTAATGGAAGATTGCTAAAAGATTTTCTTTAACAAAAAGACTTGGAAAAGAAAGTTACGAGGATGATTACTCAGATGTTGGGTTTTCCTATTTTGAGAATCAATGCAACGAAAAAGTTTATAGAATGTTAAATTTTGAATTAACCTCAGAAATTATCGTAGTCAATATAATTCAGTCACATATTATTGCAAAATTATAAACATGAAGTGCAAAATAGCTAGTATGTATTTTATTTATTTCTAGTAAGGCATTTGATAAAAAAAAAAAAAAAAAAAAAAAGAAAAAAAAGAAAGAAAGGTACAAGTGAGTACTATACCTAGTAAATTATTAGTACCATACCACTAATCTATCCATAATAGGCTATGTTAGGTTGATTATGACATAACAAGAAACAGAGATTAATACCCAAATAAACCAAGTGAGGGACAAAAAGGGTCTAATAATTGTAATTGAGGAAGGCCAGCTATGTCACAATATGTGGGTGTTTATGATGCTGACATTCTAACCACATTAGGCTAAAAGAAAGACTTAAGGAGCCCCCATGCTTCCAAGGTCATCCTGTAGCTTCCCTATATGTTGGCCTAAACATGGGCAACTGTATGATCTCCAACAACAAACACTTTTCCAAAATAAACACTAATGCAATTTTTGAAAATAGTTTTACTTTTTATTCATTCACTAGGATTAACTAGGATTATTTTCACTTGAACTTTGAAGTAATTCTCTGCTTGTCTCTTAAAATTTAAAAACTCTGATTTTACTCCATAAATTTTGAATTTTTCTCAATTAACC